TGTATCAGAACTTATTTCAGAATAAAATAAGCAAAAGCACGTGACATTATTTTCTTCAGTTGATTACACATAATATCATCAACCTCGCATACATTTTTAGAGTCGTCGTACAGCTATCACAAGCTCACCCTGTATATTATACAAAGAAGAGGTTTACTTAAATTTGTATTCAGGAACGTAATACGAAATGTAACACTTTCCTTCAATGATACAGAAACGGAAGTTTCATAATGAACCCAGCATACAGTATCAAGTTAGTGGAAAAATCTTAGGACTTCTTAGCCTTTACAAACTTCATATCCTTGTATTATATTACTCCCCAGATCCCCTCAACTCGCTGCTTACTCTGAAGCCGCAACCAGAGCGGCGTTCGCGTTAATTAAGTTCAAATCAAATTACCATTTGGATTTCATGCTCATTAAACCATCTTTCTCCGTCAGAAACTACACCAGCGCAAAGGAATACGATTACTCCACTTCGTTCTTTAGAGAAAAGTACCGTTACGAAGGAAAATATGTTTCTGCAACAAAGTGTGATAGTTTAATGCCTCAATCCACTCGGATATTTGCAAGTTAAAAAAGAGAAAATTACAACAAACTTCCGATCACCTTAATATAATGACTGGTTAATTAATCCAACTATCGAGATGTTTTAGGTGTTGCAGTAATGTAAAAGAACCACCCCCACCCCCACAAAGTACCAGAAATGGACGGTCCTGGGTGCATATCCCTACTTAGGTACTTACAGATCTGCCTACCTCACTGGTCTTGGTTAATACTTATTATAGATATGAATCTAATCGCAGTGCAGAAAACACATTTTCCTTAAATATTTATCTTACATAAAACTTAAAGATAATAAAAGGTCAATAATTTACGTAGAGTACCAATATTTCATCCAACGAAAAGCGTTTGACAAATACGATTATTTATATTTTAAATGAATGCAAAATCATACTGGACCGACATAAACATAAATTAAGTTCGGCCACAACGTATTTATTGTAGATAAGATGATAAAACTTAATCAGAACCGACAGAGCTTCGAAGATGAAACATGCGGACGGACAAGATCTATAAGCAGAATACGTTCATTACATGCACAATGCGCAATAAATCCAGCTTTCGTGTCCAACAACAAAAGGTTACTTGGTAGCCAACTGTCGAATTTATACATAATAATGCCAACAACTTTACTGGACTGAAAATGAAATTTTGGCTTGGGGCCCGCGCAGAGCTTCGAGTTTTCTTACAGGCCTCCCACCATCGTCACAGCGTATTTTGTGGGTAATACGTGGCACGCAAGAATCCTGTTTTCAACAATCCTTCGGAGTCGTTAGGAAAGAGAAAGCCAATGAAAACGAGACTGAACTACAGCACAACTTAGTTCCGCACGTCCTACGTATTCCATATGAGCTTTAAGAACAAACACTACGACGTATTAAGGCTACGCAATGATTCCGGGTGTGCACAGCTGTAGTTACTCTGGTAACCAATTACGACTATGTATCAAACACTGATGATATTCCCTCCCACTATTTCAAACACAGAGGTTATAAAACGTAGAATAACACAGTAGGATGACCATATGAAAATTTGAAAGTCGACGATCGAATGGACTATCCTAACGTTTTCCTGTAAAAACTGTAAAATTATAAGAAAATCTCAGAAACGTTGTAACCCGGGTAATGTTCAACGAGAAAACAGAATCACTTCAAGGAGAATGGAACTTCAACAGATCAGACCAATAAGATTTTCAGTCTGTTCGTACAATAACATGACAAAATAACGACAAACAGTATTAGCCCAAACATTACCCCACAAACGGAATTACAATGCTTCATCTGATACTGCCAACAGCTAATAATAATAATAATAATAATTCTGCTCGCAGCATATTATGTTCTATTTTAAAAACATAAGGATCGAAATCAAATGCACATGCTTCTCGAAATAACTACATGCAGTATTTAGATGGTCGATACTAAATAATGCAGTACACAGATACTGGAAATAAATTGATAAATAACTCAACAAACATGAGATAGACTGCAAAGGCACGACATTCAACACCCAGTATTCAGAAAATCCATATACATGTCTGCGACTGAATCAGGAGACAAACCTAGCGAACACACGTCCAGAAATGGATAATGATTTTCTGGATGGAGCTATTTCGAAGTAATGGTGTTGCGAAAAGCCTGAGGAAAACCTTATGTTCACATACTGTCCACTATCTACCACGTATTTCGACTAAACAATCTTTATCGATATTACACACTACAAAAAAGGAAATTAAACATCTAGACGTCATAAGTATTTACTGCACTAATCATATTTATTTATTTATGGCGTGTAGGCCTGAATTACCCATTTTTGTAATATGGACCGTTTAAAGAGAGTTTGTGAGTCAAAAAATTAAATTTTAACTTCTCTTCATGTGTGTTTAAAGCAAGATTTTCCTATTATATTTAGAGTGACTTCCGTATCACATTTTAATTATAAATCG